AAACATTGTATTGTCAACATAATCCTCACAAGAATTTTATGAGGTATTAGTATAATTCCAGTTTTAAAGATGTGGAAAGTAAGGCACAGAGCAGTTAAATAACATGCCCAGCTGGTAAGGGATGGAGCCAGGGTACAAACCCAAGCAGAGTGACTCTGTTGCCTCTAAATATCTGTTGAGTGAATGAATGAATGAATGAGTGAGAGGATGGAAGGGAAGGAGGTGGGAGAGAGAGTGGGGACAAGTGAGCAAGGTCAGGTGACTGTCAGCTCTAGGTAAAATGGGGTCCACAGGCAGGAGAGGTTGGTTCTGCTTGGCGGGTGAAGCAATCAGGAAAAGTTTCACAAAGGAAGTGGTGCTTCACCCGAATGTTGCAAGATGAATAGGTAGTCACTAGCCAGGGCAGGGCAGGGTAGACAGAGCGAAGGCCAACCCTTCTACTTTTGTGGTAGATCCTTTCTCTCTCTCACCTTCTCGGGGACATTTCTCCAACTGTCCCATTTCTGTTGCATCATGCTTGAGTTTTCCTCTTATTCTAACCAGCTTATATGCATGCTGAAAAATTTCCTAACCTCAAAAAAATCTTTCCCTGCAATTCCCCTCCAGCAATTGCCCCATTTCTCTGTCTCCCTTTATAGCAAAACTTCTAAAAATGGTAGTCTCTATTCCCTGGCTCCAATTCTTCTGTTTTCTCTGAAACCCGATGAAAGCAGCATTTCACCCCCACACTCCAGTGAAACAGCTCTACTCAAAGTCAAGAGCAACCTCCGTGTTGGCAAATACAGCTGTCAATCTTGTGGCTACCTTCCCAGGCCGAGCACAGTGTTTGATGCAGTTGGTCCCTGTATCCTTCTTGAGACACTTCATTCCTTTGGCACCTGAGACATCACACTCTCTCCTGATTATTTTTCTGTCTCAGGGACTGCTTCTTTCAGCCTTTTGCCATGCTACTCCTCAGCTCCCAAATGTTGATCCTTAAAATGCACACGGTGATCAGGGCACTCTCCCACTGGAAATCATTCAGTGACTCTCCCCAGGACAGGATCCAAACTTGAGCATTGGAAAGCTCCGCCACCTCACCTGTCACGAAGTATTTGTGTGGTGCTCTAGAGGACAGCCAGCCCCTCCAAATGTTCTTTTTCACCACACCCTCCAAGATCTCTGAGAGCTGAGTGGTTCCCATTTGCAGATGAGGAAGCTGAGAAGCAGATTGTCCTTCACTTGCCCAAGGTCATGCAGCTTGCAGTGTCTTTTATGAAAGCTTCTAATTCCACGTCCTGTATTCTTCCCATTTACAACCTGTTGTTTGACCTGATTCCTTAAACTTGGGGCTTCTGAGTGAAGCAGAGGCGTGGAAGTCTGGTTCCTTCTTTTAGGTGCCAGCCTCTCCATCTGGATTTCCTCTTAAGAGTGCAGTGGTTTACACTCTTCACCCCAGGCTCTTGGTAGTCACGTTTGCAGGACAATGGTGCTCTTACTGGTCGAAATGCTAAATCTCCCCAAATGAGAGGCCAGCTGCAGAGTAGGAGAAGAACAAGGGCTGAATGATTTGATCAGACATCTGTGGGGACCTCCTGGCATTTGGAGTGTGAGCGCCTTAGAGAAACTAACTATTCTGGCCCGAGGGAGTTGGAGACTGTTAATCTTGGTGGTTTTGACCGCTAACTGCCCCAGAGGTCCCAGCCTGCTGTATGACTCAGAATCCCCAACACTCCCCCTATTCTTCTCTCACTGGGATAGTCAGGAGGCCATTCCTAAGGCATTTTAATTTGGTAATAACTTGACATGGCCCACTATGCCCAGGGCTGTATGTTTTAGAAGTTACTGTTGCTTGGGGTTTGGTTTAGAGCTGCTCCATCCTTAATATCTGATTACCCTGCACTGGCCTGGGAAGAGCCTTTCCTGGTGGGCTCTGGCTTCCTGTGTTCCATCTTGCCTGTGCTCTTTCTTCTCCATTATGGATTACCTGAGTCCATAGACCCTGGACTATCCCACAGCCCGATTCTTTTTTTTTTAATTAAAAACATTTTTATACATTTTTTAAAGGCTACTTTCCATTTACAGTTATTACAGAATATTGGCTGTATTCCCCATGTTGTATAGTACATCCTTGAGCCTATCTTACACCCCATGGTTTGTACCTCCCACTCTCCCACCCATATTTTGTCCCTCCCCACCCTTCCTGCTGGCAACCACAAGTTTGTTCTCTATATCTATGAGTCTACTTCTTGTTTTGCTATAGTCACTAGTTTGTTGTATTTTTTAGGTTCCACATATACGTGAGATCATACAGTATTTGTCTTTCTCTGTCTGACTTATTTCACTTAGCATAAGGCCCCCCAGGTCCATCCATATTGCTGCACATCTAGAGCCCTGATTCTTGAAGCATTTTGCCAGAAGTTGATCGTGTTCACTAGAGAGAGGAAAGATGTGGCTGAAGGTTTGTCTGCTGTTGTACATGCATTTCCACGTGCATTTCTGCAATGCACTATGTTAAAGGGACGACCACCATCCATCCTTCCTTTTCTTTGTGAAACTATCTGGAATTCAGAAAGACCATAGGAACCCACAGTACCAGGCAAGCAAGCGGGTGGTGAGGGATTGGAGACAAGGATATGAGGGACTCATAATGCCTCACTGTTTGTTACACACTTCCAGAGAGCTTCCCTACCCCATCTCCAGCTGCACTGACCACTCGTGCTGTCCCTGGATGCTGTGCTTCCCTCTGTGATGGCACTGACTGTGAGCCACACCAGGGCGATGCCATGTTAAGAGCTCCTGGGCTTCCCTGGTGGCGCAGTGGTTGAGAATCTGCCTGTCAATGCAGGGGACACGGGTTCGAGCCCTGGTCTGGGAGGATCCCACATGCCGCGGAGCAACGAGGCCCGTGAGCCACAACTACTGAGCCTGCGCGTCTGGAGCCTGTGCTCCGCAACAAAAGAGGCCGCGACAGTGAGAGGCCTGTGCACTGAGATGAAGAGTGGCCCCCACTCGCCGCGACTAGAGAAAGCCCTCGCACAGAAACGAAGACCCAACACAGCCAAAAATAAATTAATTAAGAGCTCCTGCACTTGTGTCAGAGAGAAATAGTTTCACGTCGTATCCACTACTTACTAGCTGTATGATCTTGACTAAGTCTCTTCATCTTTCTGAGCTTGTATGTAAATTAATAATTAATAGCACCTACTCACCTGGCTATTGAGAGGAGTAATTGAAGAAATCTATAATGTTTTCATCACTGTGCCTAGTCCAAAAGCTTCCAGTACGTTTAGTAATTGCACTGAAGTTTATGTTTCGTTTCTGAAATACAGTTGTTTATGTAAGAAAATATTGTTATGTAAATTTCTCTTGTGAAACCCTTGACTTTCTTCTGCCTACCAAATAAAGGCCCAACTCCTGGCTTGTCGCTCAGCATTTACATCTGCATTTCAGGCTTTAAATTTCATTGGTAGGGAAAGCTAAAAAAATGCAGATTTTTTAGAAGAAATTGCACATAGATACAGATGAGTTTGTCTAAATTCAGTGAGCAGTGACTCTGTGTAAGGCCCTGGGCTAGGCTCAACAGGGCACTGAGTGAATCACACATGACGCATGATAGGCGGTGGCATCATGGTTTCTGGCTGTCCTGTATAGGCACCAGCCTCCCCTACCCTGGACCCACCCCGCCCCCGCCCCTGCAGAAGGCAGCCCTGAGGGAAGACTCACCACAGGGCCCCAGCACAGCAGAGCAGCTGGGCATCAGAGGGCTGGCAGCTGGCCCAAGGGTGGAGACTGGGGAAGGTGGAGACTGGGGAAGTTGGGACTGGGAACTGGCAATGAGCCAGGGCTCCTTCAGGTGCTCCAGCACGCAGGGCCTCCAGCCCCAGCAGTCACTGAATGTGTCTTGTTCTTCCTCTGTGGTCTTCTCTAGACTGCACTGGGCAGGGTTTTTGGTGGCAGGGCTGTGACTCCAGCTGCACACTGAACACATATGGACACTGAAGCCCAGAGATATGAGGTGACTTCACTACAGTCACACAGCCACAAAGCCAGGGCTACAACTCACAAGCCTTCTGAAAAATAGTGCTTTCTGACTTATGGGCTCCTGAGATTGTCTTATGTCCAGTCCAAGTGCAGTGAGATTGTCAGGGCCATTTTGTTCCTTCAGAAAATCATAAGGGTCTTCTGTGTGCCCATCTCTGTGCAAAGAACTGTGGGTACAGGGTTAAATCAGACCCTGACCTTGAAGTTACAGTGCAGTGAGGGAGACATACTACCGACGATTGCAGTTCCGTACAGCGAGTGCTGGGCAATCATGTAACGCGGATGGCAGGGGGTGGACGGTGAACGCAGGGAGGCACTTGGCCCAATCTGGGGGTCAGGGAGTTAGGCCCAGAGAAATTGACATCTGAGCTGAGTTGTGAAGGACCGAGAGGCATAGGCAGGTGGAGAAGGACAAGGAAGAACATTCCAGGCACAGAGGATAGGAGAGCAGGAGAGCCTCCTTAATTAAACGCCCCAACATGTATTTGATCTCTATTCAGGGCACTGTGAGTGGTTCCCACTGGCTGGGTCATAGTGTGTGTGGGGAGAATAGAGGCAGATGAGGCTGGACATGTAGACATATCCAGGAAGGTTGAAAGGGCAGTGCCTGTGACTTTATCAAAGTCTGGCGGCTCTCTCCTTAGGTCTCCAGGCTCTACTCTCCCAGTCGGGGAGCCTGGATGGAGTTCCTGATTTCCGTGGAATCTGGTTTACTGCAAAGAATCTATGCAAAACCCAGTGAGCTCTTTTTGCCAAATTCCACTGCCGGGCCTTGCTTGTTTATCCACCTATTCCTTTAGGGTTTCTTGGCTCCTCCCCCTTACCCCCACCTCCAGGGCCTTGGTATGGAAAGGGGGCTGAAGTGCTGATTGTAGGGAGTGAAGCTTTGTTCAGGGTTTAAACACCTACAGCTCTTCATGAACTAGTAACCGCTGCCCAGTGCCTGGCAAGCCGTGACTCTCTTTCTCTTCCTATAGGCCTGCTGAGTTAGCCACCAAGTACGCAAACTTTTCAGAGGGAACTTGCAAGCCTGGCTATGCTTCAGCCTTGATGACTGCCATCTTCCCCCGGTAAGTGCTCCTGTTTCTTCCCGTCACCTGGATAGCCTGGTCCATGGCCCAGGACTCAGACACCCTGCCCCGTGTGGCAAGTGGTGTGCCTCTGAGAAAATGAGATTCTGTGGTACCTTTCCTCCCGTGTCCTTGAGTCGGTGGGTGCCTGGAAAGGACTTTGCTTTTGGTTGGTTCCTACTCCAGTCCCACTCTAGGCCCTTGCTACACCTTACCCCCGTCTTCCTCTCAGAGCTTGTACCTGCCAGCACAGCTCGCTTCTGTGGAGGAAAGAGACGAGGTAGAACCTACGTGGTTCCCCTTGGAAGCCAGGTATCCAGAGGCCGCCAGACAGTGCTCCACAGCACAGAAGCTCGTAGTCTTTTTTGGAAGCTGGGACCAACTACCTGGCTTCAGGGAGGCAAAGCCAAATAAAGCAGGAAGTAAAGAGGAGTTTCTGAGGCTGACGTTCTAGAGTTCCTGATTTACTTGACAGGAGCTGCTGAGAGAAGCTTTCACCCAGTTCCACTGAGAGGCCTTGCTTGCTTATCCGCCTTTTCCTTTCGGGTTTCCTTTCCTGAAACCTTGGTGTGGAAAAGAGCCTGACGTGCTGCGATCGTCTTGTCTGTGGTCCGAGTGCAGTGAGACCCCTGGGGTCGTTTTGTTCCTTCAGAGAGTTATAGGACTATCTGACTTGGAGGGGATGTAGGAGGGGCTGCTCTGGACCTCTGGGAGTCAGGATGTAGCACTCGGACCACCAGAGGAGCCCTAGGGGTGGCCTCTTGGCATGGGCTGTGTTCACGGGGGAAGGGTATGCACCCCATCCCTTAGAAGGCTGAGGTTAGGGCACACGGTGTGCTTGCAAAGGAATGCTGACAAATAGCTTGCCCAGAAGCAAATCCAGGGTATTTGGATTTTATGCTCCTTTTCTTTCCTAATGTCAGCAATCCAAGCTTAGCTCCTCGTATAAAACAGGAGGCTCTGCTGGCTGAATACCTGGTGTTCAGTTAGAGATCCCTTTGTCTGGGGTCTGCCTTCTGACGTGATTCCAATGTTTTGCTTCCCCCAGCTATTTACTGAGCACTTCTTCAGTGTCTGGCACCATGTTCCATATTCTTGCCTGGGTTTTCTCAGACCTACACTGCTCAGGCCCCTGGGCCAGACACCTGTGAGTTTTCCTTGACCTGTGTATGGGTTTTCTAATTGAAAGTAATACAAGCATGTGGGGAAAAAAAACTCAAACAGTACAAAAGGGTATATATTCCCACTCCAGATCCCAGAGACAGCCAATATTACCATAAGCAGGAACATACTGTATTTATTGTACTGTATCTTGCTTTTTACTCCTAACAATATGTCTTAGAGTTTATCCTATTACCAGCATATATGGATTCATCTCATATTTTAAATGATTGCATAATATATAATTGTTTGGAGGTGTCATAATTTTATTAAAGATTTGTTGAGGTTTAATTTACATACAGTAAAATCTACATATTAGTATAGTTGTATGAGTTTTGATAATACCTTTGTGCAACCACCGTAACAGTTAATAGAACACGTCCAACATCACCCCCAAAAGTTCCTTCATGCTTCTTTGCAGTTAACCCCTCCCTTGACCCCCAGGCCCTGACAACTACTGTCCCTGTAGTATTTCCAGAATGTCATATAAATGGATCATATAGTAGCCTTTTGAGTCTGCCTCTTTTGTTCAGTATAATGCATTTGGGATTCACACATGTGTGTAGCAGTTGCTTGTTCCTTTTTATTGCTGAATAGTATTCCATTATATGGGCATAACATTGTATGTTGTTTATCCATTCAACAGTCAAAAGACATTTGGGTTAATTCCAGTTTTTAGCTATTATAAGTAAAGCCAACATAAACATTTGTGTAGAGGATGTATGCTTCACTGCATAAGAATTTGCCAAACTGTTTTCCAAAGTGACTGTACCGTTTTGCTCTCCTGCCAGCAAAGTGTAAGAGTTTTAGTTGTTTTATATCCCTGACATCAATCTTTTTAATTTTAGCTGTTCTAGTAGGTTTAGAGGGAAGGGAAGGCTTAGAGGGCTTACCAGGGAAGCCCTGCTTTTGATGTTTTACCTAAGTCTTTCCCAGGACTTCTCTGGTGGTACAGTGGTTAAGTGTATCATTTTATTTTTAGATTCCACATATGGTCAGTTACTAACAGAGGGATGTTGAATTCTCCATTTATCAGTTTTTGCTTCAATATATTTTGAAGCTCTGCCATTTAGTGCATACACATTTAGGATTGTAGCCCCTTGCTGAATAGATTCCTTCATTTTTCTGAAATGTCCCTTTTTCACTGGTAATAATCCTTGTTCTGAAATCTTCCTTGTTTGATATTAATATAACCACTCCAGCCTTTTAAAAGTTAGTTTCATCATGGTGTATGTTTTTCTATTCTTTTACATTTTCTGGTGGAGAAGGAGTTTGTATGTTTATATCCTTGAGCATCAGAGAAGTTGGATCTTAGAGGTGTGGTTGGCAGCAGTCCCTCCTTTTACATTTAACCTATCTGTTTCTTTATAATTAGAGAGGGTTTCTGCGGACAACACATAATGGAGTCTTGCTTTTTTTATCCAATCTGACAATGCCTGCCTTTTACTGGAATGTTTATACTGTTTATATTTAATGTAATCATCAGTGTGGTTCGGCTTAAATTTACCATCTTGCTATGAGTTTTCTGCTAGTTTCTTTTTTCCCTTTCTTTTCCTGCCTCCTTTTGGATTAATTGAGTGTGTTTTATGGTTTTATTTTACCATAAAATAAAACTGTTGGTTTAATAGCTATGCCTCTTTGTTTTATGTCTTTCATGATTATTCTAGAGCTTACAATATACATCGTTGATTTATAATCTACTTTTAAATAATATTATAGCACTTCGCTTAGAGCTTATGAACCTTAGAACAGTATACCTCCATTTCCCCTTCCGCCCTTTGTGCTATTTTTTGTCATATTTTACATTGATGTATTATAAACCCACACAACACTGTCCTTATTTATTTTTGTTTTAAACAGTTAATTATTTAAAGTGAATTAAAAATGAGCAGGAAAAGGCAACCTACAGCATGGGAGAAGGTATTTGCACATCATATATCTGATGCGGTGTTAATATCCAGAATATATAAAGAACTCCTACAACTCAACAACAACAACAAATGGGTGAAGGATTCAAATAGACATTTCTCCTAAGATGATATACAAATAGCCAACAAGCACATGAAAAAATGCTCAATATAATTAGTCGTTGGGGAAATGCAAATCAAAACCACAATGAGAGGGCTTCCCTGGTGGTACAGTGGTTAAGAATCTGCCTGCCAATGCAAGGGACACGGGTTCAAGCCCTGGTCCAGGAAGATCCCACATGCCGCGGAGCAGCTAAGCCCGGGTGCCACAACTATTGAGGCTGTGCTCTAGAGCCCGCGAGCCACAACTACTGAGCCCACGTGCCACAACTACTGAAGCCCATGTGCCTGGAGTCCGTGCTCTGCAACAAGAGAAGCCACTGCAATGAGAAGCCTGCGCACCTTAACCAAGAGTAGCCCCCGCTCACCGCAACTAGAGAAAGCCGGCGGGCAGCAACGAAGACCCAACACAGCCAAAAAAACAAAACAAAACAAAAAAACCACAGTGAGATACTACCTCACACTCATTAGGGTGGCTGCTATCAAAAAAGCAGAAAATAGCAAGTGTTGACAAGGATGTGGAGAAATCAGAACCCTGTGCACTACTGGTGACAATGTAAATTGTGGTGCAGCCACTATGGAAAACAGTATGGTGTTCCTCAAAAAACTGAAAGTAGAATTACTATATGACCCAGCAATTCTACTTTTGGGTATATACCCAAAAGAAATGAAAGCAGGGTCTGAAAGAGGTATTTGCACATCCATGTTCATAGCAGCATTATTCACAATAGCCAAAGCAATCCAAGAGTCTGTCAACTGATGAAAAGATAAAATGTGGTATATACATGGAATGGAATATTTTTCAGCCTTAAAAAGAGGAGAAGTTCTGACAGATGCTACGGTGTGGGTGAACCTTGAGGACATTATACTAAGTGAAATAAGCCAGTCATAGAAAGACAATACTGTTTTATTTCACTTATGTGAGGTACCTAGGGTAGTCAGACTCACAGAGATAGAAAATAGAATGGTGGTTGCCAGAGGCTGGGGACAAGGGGAAATGAGGAATTGCTGTTTAATGGATATTTAATAGACAGAGTTTCAGTTTTACAAGATGAAAAGCATTCTGGAGATTGAATGCATAACAATGTGAAAGTACTTAACACTACTGAATTGTACACTTAAAAATGTTTAAGGTGATAAATTTTATGTTATGTGTATTTTACCACAATTTAAATTTTAAAAGTTTTTAAAAATTAGGGTGAAAAGTCTTTTTTTTTGCCCCTCGGATTTGTTTTCATTCTCCCTTTGCTTTTTGATTTAATTTTTTTTTGGCTGCGTTGTGTCTTTGTTGCTGCATGTGGGCTTTCTCTAGTTGTGGTGAGCCGGGGCTACTCTTCATTGCAGTGCATGGACTCTAGGCCTGCAGGCTTCAGTAGTTGTGGCACATGGGCTTAGTTGCTCCGCAGCATGTGGGATCTTCCTGGACCAGGGATCAGACCCACGTCCCCTGCATTGGTAGGTGGATTCTTATCCACTACGCCACCAGGGAAGTCCCTGAAAACTCTTGTATAGTTACCCACAAACTTAGTTTTACTGTTGCTCTTTCTTCCTTTGTGTTAGATACATATTTCTGTATGGTGTTCTTTTTCTTCTGCTTGAAGAACGTCTTGTAACATTTCTTATGAGGAAGATCTTATGGCAATGAAGTCTATCAGCTTTGGTTTGTCTGATAAAGTCTATTTTACCTTCAGTTTCGAAAGTTTGTTTGTTTGTTTTTGGCTGTGTATACAATTCTAGGTTGACAATTTGACAAACATGCAGTACTTTAAAGATATAACTTCACTTTCTTTTGGCTTGTATAGTTTCTAACAA